CATGTCCCGTAGCCGATCTTTTCAGGAAGTCAGGGCACTTCTGTTTCCTATCCCTCCGCCGATGCCTGCCTGCGTCTCGACGCTTGTGTTCCCAAGAAGACATTTTTTCCTTCTTTCGGCAGAGTTGACTTACTGAGTCAGCGCTGAGGCGTTCCCCGTTTTGCATGGCGACTCCTGCTCCACAGTTCCCCTCCTGTGACCTTCATAATGCGATATTGCCTGGGGCAATATTCGACGACGACCTAGTGGATGGAGACAACAACGACGATGGAAGAAGCGACAAGGATGAGAGGAGCGACAGAGACGACGAGGTCAAGCATGAGACTGGCTTCGTGGAAGTCCATTAGGCAAGCCTCGCGAACCGGTCGAGAGGGAAATAGCGAGTAAACAGAGGGAAATCGACGGATATCAGGCCCGAAACAACGTCTGTGACTCACCACTCAGACCAATATTTTTCTTGACATTCTATGCATTCACAATCCTCGCTTTGGCCGAACATGATGCGTCCCGCAAGCCCTGCATGGAAGCGTTCATTTTTTTCAACAGGAGCACGGTGGACGTGGCAAGAAAAACGGCGGGCAAGAAAGAAATTGTGTTCGGCGGCTGCAGGGAGCGATGTGCGATGTGAGGAGGAGAAAAACTCAATCAGCAGCTGAGCAGAACGTCTAATAGAGTCTGCTGTTCCATCCGGCTGGTCAGACTACCGTGTGGCTGCACCGTCTGCCTTCGACGCCACCGCCACGAAATAGCCTGTCATATCTCGTCAACGTCCGTCTCGTACCGCCAAGCTGAGAAGGATGGAAGCGCGAAATAAAGGAACAGTTGGCCATTACGATCCGCGTCGATAGGCTCCCACCACGGGTTTGCATGTTATCTACGCCGAGGAGCCCACAGGGTATACGGACAGAGGTGAATTCACACCGAATTTCTCGAAACAGGGAAAAAACTGTTTCTCGGGAGAATATCGAAACGAATTCGGAATCGAGCCGTTCACGACGGAACTCCGGAGCGATGAAGGAGGACAAGACGGAGCGAAATTCGCTGGGGACACGAGGAGCCCGACTGAGTCGACGACGTGGAATCTCGACTCTCAAACGGGGGAATATAATATATTCATTGTGGGGAGCTCCGTGCGGCCGACAGCCTCCGATCCGGTGAGAAAGGGAAATTCTTCCGCAAGATGAATATTTCCACGATTCATCTCGAACCTTTACAGTTCTCCTCCTCACGCAAGAACGTCTGAGCTTGTCCATCACTTTCATCTTCCTCTTCACATGTGCCGCTCGAGCAGAAGCTCAGGCGGCTGCAACACCACCAAGTCTTCGCAGAAATCTTTCGAGCAGCCATAAACGGGAGAAGGATAGTCCGCGAACGCAACAGGGTTGCCAGGTCGGTCGGACGCTGGGTCGTCCGTTCAGAGAAGGCGAAAGAAATCTACTGGAGTCGCTTGGCTGGCTCAGATATTGCGGCGCGCAGTTTTCGCATGCTGGCGACACACTTTCCGAAGCACGTGAGTTATTATTTATGAGGCTGAGAGTGAGAGTAATGATGGTGAGGGGACCAGGACGGCACCTGACCACAGTTCGCGGGCCTGGACCGAGACCACCGCCACCGTCGCACCCCTGCGATTCCGCTGATACCGAAAAAAGGAAACACTCCTTCGGCGAGGTCGAGAGCGGTCGACTCTAGCCAGGCTTCCAGATCCACACCTAAGCTTCGATCACTCTCAAATTAATGTCCGACCATCTTTGAGAATCCACTGAGCCACAATGAGAAAAAAATCGCCGCCGATTAGCACCGAGGGAGCTCATGAGCGTATCTTGTCACATTCGGGTCGCAGTTTCGAGCGAAATCGAATTTTCCTCTCCATCCGGAGCGCGTAAACAAACGAAAAGTTTCGACTTACTTCACGAATGGTCCTGTTGCTCAGCCTGTTGGAGTTGCGCTGGCTCCGCTGAACTCCCTCCACAGGCGAGGGTTTTCCTTGATAATTTTTTGCTAACGCGTCAGGTTTCCATTTATTTTGAATTTCCGCACACCTTAGCACCGACACTTTTTGCACCACCTTGTAGAATGTCAACGGCTAACTTCGGGAGGTCGGCATGCAACAGAACTGCCAACACAAAAGCTTTTATTTCTACAGGTTAGCGATGTCGTCGGCACCGACTTCGACGTTTTCTTGCTTTTGTAAGTGAAGATTTTCTCGCTGCTGCTGACGTTGTTGTCGTCGATGTTGCTGTTGTTACCGCTGCTGCTGATGCAGTTGCCGCTGGTATCAAAGACACAATGGATGATGAGCGCCTCCTGTACGGCGCTCTAGCAAAGACTGCCCCGGAGCATCCAGGGTACGACAGCTGACCACAGGGGTAAACAGAGAGCGTAGCAGACGACTTTTACCCCTCGCGAGCTCCCCCTGGTGCCTCCTACTGCAACGTGATAAATTTATCTCCTACTCTTCCTACCTAGCTCCGACCGATCCACCGAAAGACCGAAGCACCGCCAACGCTGCCAACCAGCCATCCGAACGGCCTCCGCAGCCAGCCAACCGACCGACCGACTGGACGATCAAAAGACCAACCTCGCAACTTGAATGCCACTGACGGCAGCGGAGCTCGGATATTCTATGGATATGATTTCTCCATCGAATCCGGAATCTATCCCATTTCGGCTTTCACGTCCGCGCGAGTAATTTCCCCACGTAGATCCTCGCTTTTCAATCATTCGATTGCTTGCTGGGCAGGAAAACAGATTCCTCGATCTGAACGATGACATCTTCGAGCGGAAGCTGGGTAGAAGCTCCGGCAATCGATCGCCTCAACGAGCAGAAAGACAATCGTTGCCTTGATCGATCCGCAAGCGGAATACATCTTTGTAATCCGCGCCGACCGGATCAGTCTTGCATTCTCCCAGGAGCTGTTATCATTCCCGCGGTTCATTGCTCCACGATAGTAGAGTTACAGCCGGGGGCGCGTGCTCTCCGATTATAAAACAGGGCTTCATCTTACGTAAAGTAAGATCCTCCGTCCGGTGGATGACGCAATCTCCCTCAGGGACTATAATGCTTTCTTCCTCTTCGATTTGAGCTTCTCAGTGGACATTTTGTTCGGCCGGAAGTGTGGCCTCGCTGAATCATTGCAGCTCGGCTGAATGACCGCGTCCCAGGCGATAACGGCCGCAGAATGTAGTCAAGGGACTCCTGGAAAACGGTAGATGCATGCACTCCGTAGCTCCAGCCCCACCGATCGGAGCTCCATAAATTCTTCCAGCTAACCGCTTGTCAGGAGCCCTGAGGGTGTTCCGCCACCCGAATTGAGGCTGGGCATCCGCTCCTCATCGGGCTCCGTTTCTCAAGTTCAATTTTCTCCGGAATAATCCCGGCAGGATTCCCTCCAATCAGTACTGGTGGTCACTGGGATTAGGGAAATGGTGGAACCTCGATCTAGAAAAGGCCCGATGACCGGACTCGACGGCCCGATACTCAAGCAGAGGGGTATCGGTATCGATAACACTTTCCTCATCCATATCGGGAATGGAAGCTCTCCGCCAGACCGTCGGTTTGAAGGGAATGAAAGGGTTTGGAGGGCGGTAGCTCACTCTAACAACACCGTACCAGAATACCTTCTGTTCCGTCGACGCTCACGCGTCCTGGAGTCGGGTCCTGGATAACTCCGTTTATTCCACTGGAATAAGACACCGACATCCATCTTGATTCCAGGTTCGAGATGGATGTCTCAGACCTCAGTTCCAGGAGCCTCCGTGAGATTTCCAAGGCTACTTTGTAAGAGCTGAATTCTCCTGTGGGCTTGCCGCGAGATCGAGCGTGTCCCCTACAGGCGCGTCCACTGAAATAAGGGTACTGTACTCCCTTCACCCGATTAGGCTTCCGTCGAGCTCGAGTAGGGACTGGATCCTAATTCGCAAACCTCAGCCAGCGACAAAAATCCATCCTGCTCATTCCCAGTTGATGAAGCGGGCGCCCTTGATTTCCTCTCTCAGTGAATCTGAAGTGGCTCTCTCGGGAGCCTCGCGGTTCCGCTGCTCATTTCTCGCGGCTCCGCGACCGAAACTCTGCTGAGCCCCAAGAGTTTCCGCGGCAAAAAGTCCAAGCGGCACAAGAGTCACGTGTTCGGAGAGGTTTCGATTTCATCCAGCTCTTGCGGACTTAGAATCGATCCATTCCTGAAAACAGAGATGCGGCGTGCGGTAGGGGAGGAGCGTCTATCTCCTCAAAAGACACCCCGGATTGGAAAGCCGTCGACGAAGACTCCGCGAAATTGTGATTCGACTGTAAGTGTGGGGATTTCGCTGCCCATCTCGGCTTTGGCCGAAAGCTCCGCTGGAGGTATTCTAGAGATTCCCCCTGAAGAATCAGGGAGGGCTCTGGATGCTGATTAGTATCATATAACTTGTATTCGGTCGACTTCGCGGATCCTTCCCTGTCCTTGGTCCGCGGATGCCCCGATTTCACTTCGAGGAGTTCACGGAGTGGAGCTTTTCTCGTGACTCGGGCCGTGGAATTCCGTCGACCCTACCGCTGAGGTTTCCGCGGGGATTCCCGTCAGGATTTACTCACGGGTCCTTCTGGGGGTCGCGGTTGGTAGGACTCACAGGTCATCCCGTTCTGACTCGCTTCCGGAAACTCTTCTCGATGGCGATCGGTGACATCCGGAGTATTTAAGATTAGGTAGCCGTTGATGGAGTTTCGCTTGAGAAATACTTGAGGACACTAATTTTTCGCGTGTAAATTCTCGAATCTCTTTGAATCGAGACATGTAGGTACCTAGTCTTTGAGTCCGCGGGAAATTGTCGCCACGCATGATAAGATGATTCTGTTTATTAATTACACGAATCAAATTCTAGACCCTCTACCTTTCAGAAGAGGATGGCTTATGAATATGTACAAAAATCACTAGAGTCCCGTGTAGTCCCCGCTATTCGCCCTGCTGATGCAGTGTCGACAGCGAGGTATTCGGTCGGCTCGGAAGTCCCAAGTCAAATGTGGCCTCGAGACGCCAAGAATCGGCACAAACCCGACAGCGAGTATTACAGCGATGTAGACGGATTCATGTATCGCAGCCGGAGCGAGAACGCTCCTGTTCCGAAAGTTCGAATGCGCCGACAAGCCGCTCTGGTTGTCGAAGTAGAGGGCGGACGATGAGCGACTTCTACCGCCTAGACCCGGCAAACAGAGCTCGCCCTGAACGCGAGGAAACTCGCTACCTTGCAGCTCCACGGCAAGGTCGCGTCGACAGCGAAGTCCCCGGAGGAGCAGCGCTGTCGTCTCGTTCTTTGTCTTCTCTATCCGCTGCCAGCCTTCCCAGAGAAGATATCCGCTTCGTCGACCGCTGCCTTTATTTCGTTGGGAGCTTTCGATCAAAAGTTGTGCGGCCCCGCCGTCATCCTCTCAGAGCTCGCGCTACTTTCGAAGCCGAACCCTTGCCGAGTTTCTTGCAAATAAACTCGCCGGCATCGACCAGCCGTTGCATGTCGATCCCAGTCCGGATTCCCATTCCGTGGAGCATGTAGACAACGTCTTCTGTGGCGACATTACCGCTCGACCCCTTGGCATAGGGACAGCCACCCAAACCCGCTACGGAGGCGTCGACGACCGATATTCCCATCTGAAACGAATCGACGATATTTAGCTACGACTGAAGATGAGCAAACCATCGAACGCCTGCATCTATCTGCTCAAAATCGTCGTCGCAACGAACGCAAAGGCCCGCGCGCGCGATTGAGCGATCGGGTGAGCGAGCTCGGTCTGCTACTGGTGCAGTTCCGCGCCGCTGACTCCACTTAAGTGGTAGCCTCAGGGTAAAGGGAATCGCTCATTTACATAGCCGAGCCCGGCTTTAGGCACAGATCCCGCAGCTTTGAATAGCAGCCAGCGAGCTTCTCACTTGGCTTCTCTCATCGTTTCTCGTGATATGGACTCGACACCTCGCCCGCGGAGCGATAGAGAGACATCAACGGGAAAGGCTAGGACGCCTTGTCTGCCCGAGTCGAATAGATTGACTACTCGCTCGCTTTTGCTCCCTGAGCCCTCGAATCCCTCGGTCGTTGAACAACTTCCTTCCGCTCGTTGCTCGCTCATACCACTGATGCTTTTTTCGGTTCTCATTCCATTCAAGCCCATTCCCTTGTGGCGTTCGAATTCGTGAACGTCATGACGGCGTCCGAGCTATGAGCCACCCCCCCCCCACTCGAGCGAATACGTATAACAGTGAACATCAGTGAACTATTGGGACTCACATCGACAGCGGTGAGGATGTTGGCGAGAGCTTGACCGTATGTGTCATGACAATGGACTGCGACTACGGAAACGGGAACGACGTCGAGCACGGCTTCCAACATTTCGGAAAAAGATCCAGGAGTTCCAACTCCTGCGACGTAGACGAGAGAATTTGAGTAAATAACAGGTGCGTCGTTACATAAGCTGATTAGCAGAGCTTGGGAGAACGACAATATTCCGCCATCTCTCTTATCTTTGATTCGGAGGAGATTAGAGAGTGTTCGCTCGCGAACTACTCCCGGAACGGAACTCACCGATGGTATCTCCCAGCGATATTTCGTCACAACCCATATCGTAGAGGCGGCGAGCCAGCTCCGCGACCTTCGTTGGAGGCACAAAACCCTCGTATGGACACCCGGTGACGCAGCTGAGATAACCTCGAACTCTCACGCCGTGTGCTTTGGCCATGTTCAACACGTGTTCGAACCTGAAAAGACGAAAGTCTTTAGACATCTAGGCTGAGTCGAATCCATGCATATTCGTCCTCCTGGTCTCACTCCTTTGACGAGCGTGTGCAGGAAATTCTCTTTAGCGGCATCGGCGGTTCCGGCGGCGGTCTAATTCAGCTCTAATGGGTGGCATGAAAAGACGATGGGGTCGCTCACGCCATCACACAAAGCATAACGGTTCGGCGACCACACCAACCCACCATGAAATATGGCAAGAGGCTCCGGGCGACCGCGACCTCTAACCGAAACAGTAACTCCAGTTTTGCCATTATCGTAATTATCTTTTCTCTTCCATCGAGCAGGCGGTGGGCTCGCTTGTCGCCATCGATTTCGTTGGATCGGTCTGTTGCCGATGGCAAACTGAACTGATTTCGCGGCTGGACAGCTTTAGGCAAGTCCTGCGTCTCGGCGGAGGCTTCCCCGTCGGTGGTCGTTGTCACCCTTGTTGTCGGATTCTCTCGGGACGTCGATTGGCGAAGACTGAGGCGTTTGCCGGAGCCGATTTGCGTCTGGACTGCAGCCGATGTCTCGCTTGAGATGCGCTGTTCCATTATTGCTCGTCCCCGTTCATTCTCCCCAATCAGGGGATCGAGCGAGATCTCCCGCGCGCATTCCTCGACATCGAACGCTTGGGGGCATCGGATTCGAGAAACAGTAGGGAAATCCAATGGAGATGTGAAACAATCTCTAATTCTGTTCCATTATACATAGATCCTCGGCTCGCTCACCTCGCAAAGCTTTCCTCGATCGAACAGTTTATGTTTTTCAAGCTGAAAGTCTCCGACGCCGATGCGAACACCGCCACTTCGGAAACCCCGCACGCCAGAGCTCGTTCCATCCCTGAAAACGTAGAGAGGAAGAAACTCATTCAAGGACTCGACGAGAACCCCGACCAAAGAGCCTCTTAGGCTCCTTGCCCGCGAGCGAGCGATCGCATACGCAGGAACTGCATTGCTCGAAATCCTCTGTGCGTCGGAAGGGAATCAGAGCTCTGGCGATTGTATTTAAAATCGGAGTGCTGGTTGTTCGCAGTCGAGGTCGAGCTCGGAAGATCCAGTCGCTCGCTGCAGCTTGTTTCGATCCCCCAGAGATCGATTCTCGCGAGGAAATGAGCCGCGACCGAGCGGGAATGGACCGAAGGAACAAGGGAAGAACGAGCGCTTGCCGCAAAATCTCTGTCTCACCTTTTGAATTGGGGACTAGCGCTGAATAAGAGACATTCTCGGATTGCGCTACGTTCCGAAGAACTTCGGAGCTGTCGGCCATCTGGGGCACCCAGCGGGGAGACACAAAAGCTCCGGCTTCTATGCTGCGGAGACCCGCTTGCGCCAATCTGAGAATACAAGGAAGTTGAGCTTGGAATTTTTCTTTCGTTTAGCACGTTGGTTTCGAATTAATTCCCAGTATTATTCGGGGAAATATGGTATTTCCCGTGTTGCTTCCGAGGCTTTTCCCGGACGGAAGAGAAAGACATGAATTCTTGAGAAAAGAAGAGCTCCTTAGGTCATCCTCGCCGTCCATCCGGGATTTATGGATATTCACCTGTTTATGAGTTCCACCTTCACGGAGCATGGAACGAGCTCAGACTCGTTCTGAAGTCCGTCTCGAGGACCCACTTCAACTATCCGAACGAAATCGGGTCTCTGAAAGAGCAAAGAGACCAGTGTGAATTGCGGGCGTGAAAGACTGCTACATGGAACTTCGAAGACGACAATCGATCCAAGTAACATGCATCCAAATCGAAGCCTGATGCGTGGATTTTCCTCGGTGACAAACATAGATCTAAGAATGATTCAAAGACAATTTTTCTGAGCGCGTGCGTGGGCATTCCATTCCGGCCGATGCTTTTATACTCGGAAAAAATGGAGTTTCGATGCCTTATGCAATCGCCGAGAGGAAGGCTCGCCTCCTCCCTCACCACTCGGTTTCCGTGTCACGATTCCGGGGTCACTACGAATCGAGGTTCACCGCACACCTCATCGCCCAACTCCACCGAAACCTTGCTTGATGGAAGGATCGTTCCGTTCCCATAGTTGGACGAAAAAAACGGTGTCATCCCGCGGCGAGGGTCCTCGGGGGCTTTCGGGCTTGGAAAATCTTCGGCACCGGATGTTTTCTGAACGAGATCGTATGGATTCCTCCAACGTAGATCGCCGAACGGTCATCGACCACATTACTTCAGTTTTTCCTCGAGTCGACCGGTTTTCGACTGTGAGGAAAATAATTGGCCAGTGCCTTGCCAAGAGCTGTTCTTCTTTTTTGACGGAAAGTCATTCTAGTCCGACTTTGACGGATCCCAGAACCGTGGGGTTGCTCAATCATATCACAGTTGAATGATTCTGCTGTTTGCGCCGTTTCTTACTGACTGACGAACGAACGAACGAACGGTGTCGGCGATCGGACCGTGTGACTACGACAAAGTCCTTGGGTGAAGGCCTTGCTAAGCGAGCTGAATTTCATAGCGGAACATCTCAGAAGAAAAAAAGACAAGCTGTTCCAGACGTAGAGGCCATGGACGTCTCACGACCACAGAGGGCCTTCGCCCCGCTCCGATACCGTCTATTTTCTGGTGGATCCCTCTTCACCCGTTTTGAGTCCACGGAGGAGGAGCTCCTCGATAAGCCCCGAAGTTCCGTCACTCGGTCAGCATAGATTTCGGGTACCATTACGCATGGCTGCATCTGTACTTCAAATTGCGGGATAATCCAGGAGCTCTACTGAATTGTGCATGATTGGAAGCATGATCAAGATTCCTTCCCTGCCGCTTCCCGCTACCGATTCTCAGCCAAGAGGTTTCCTCCGCCGAGGCTCTATACGCTCGTTTCCCTCGGAGATATCTCTGTTCAATCTTTTCCCCTCTAGCGAAGTTTCCGCGTACTCGATTTTTCATCACTGGGTGACTAGTTACGCACTAGCCATCGGATTCGGCAAAAACATCTTCGATTCTTTGCTTCCTGTCCGGATGGAACGCACTCCACTGATGGTCGCGGTCGCGATCACCGAGGTTCGCCGGCTCACAGCAGAACAGACTTAGATGGAAAAAGCCGAAAGATTGTCTTATCGGAAATGCAATCGGTCACCCGGTGCACACACGAAACGGTATCTCGCACCGCTATCGAAACTGCTCATGGGCTCTGGAGGCGAGTATCGGGATCCCGGTGGAAGCCGCTACTCCGGAATCCGGGTTTTCTCGATGCAATTTTCAAATGCGAACAATAAGAAATGCCGTTCGACGCGCTATGTTTGCTTGTCAGCCGTTCTCACCTTGGACCGACGTTCACACGCGCGCCTCGTCGAGAGAAGCGTGGACGGCCGACTCTGTACGTTGAGCACCATTTTCATGAGCACCGGGAGCGAAACCACAGAAAGTTCGAGCTGGAGGCAACTACGGAGGAACAACTGCTGCTGCTGCTGCTGCGATACTCGACGGAAAACCTCTGTCGGTCTGTCAGTCGAAATTCGCTTCACAATAAAATGACCGCCATCTAAATCCTCTGACGACGATTGGGAAAGGGAGCCGCGCGCTACGCGTAGGAAAGTCCTGCGTAAGTCTTATAACGGGTGCGTGAACGCAGCAGCTTTCTGCCAGAGACGGATCCCGTCTTCTGTGGGGAAGTACCAGATTTTATTGACGGCTCGTTGACTCACCTCCTCATTGCTAATCAACGTCATATGTGAGGGAGTGAGCGATCGATATCGCTTTCTAGGGCTTTGTTTTCTTGTCACCTGAGTCGACTGCCCGCTCAATCCACTATCTGTATTCAGGATTCCCCTTGAGGTGAATCGAAACGGGAGATTGCAGCCGAAACACCTGGAGCTTTCGAGTCATTAGAATCACTGACGGAAAAAGTAAAATAACCCAGAGCGAATCTCGGGAAATCCGCGATCGGAGAGCCTGCAACGGATGTCGAACATCGAAGTCTGTTCCTTCCCGTGATGGCGTAGAGAAACGCTCCTTCATACATGATGTCGTTAGTGAGCCATGGGGAGAGCAATTAGAATAATTCGATGAGGTCCCCATACTCTGTCCCATCCTGCTCGACCCGGAGCACGGCTTTGAGAGTTCCAGTGAAACAGCGCATCTCTCCATTCATCGCTCAGATGACGTCACTGCCTGTTGGGGAAAACATCACAGAATGAGTTTCCCCGCCAATTAAGAATCTTCGAGTCGAGGATAATTTCGAGGGAACTAGTCTCGTCCGGAGAATCGGCAACTTCCCGAGGGAGCAAGAGGCGCGACTTGGAGCATACGGAAAGCAGCTCGATATAATGCTCGCCAGAACCAATCGATGTCTTCATCAACAGTAGTTCCTCGATGGCGTCGTATACTCACGGGAACGCTAGCAGCGGAGCCTCTGAGCTGCCGTATCATAAGACGCTCGGAAACGAAAATGAATTCTCTTTGCGAACCACATCCGTGGAAAACACATCCTATTGTCGGTACACAGCCCCGAGGATGTTCGAACATTTCATTCGTGTGTTTGGTTTTCTTTGGTCGACTGAAATGAACACAAGCGACGTCCTGGGAATACATTTATAGACTCCGTGAAACTCCGCGGAAGTTCGCTTTCAAAAATTCTCTTCAATCTTTCAGATTTGTGCTCGCAAAGAATATACCTATGTTCTTCTCAATTCGTGATTATTGATTATAGACTCGCACTTCCAGATTATCCGCTCTTCTTCCTCGGCTTCAGCCGAATGTTATGCTACGATAGTCGGTATCTTTGCGGAAAAGAAGGGTATTTCCCTGAGGGTCTCTAGTCGTTGCAAACAACAAACCATGCATGCCCGCGAAGGCGTCCCACAATTACGGCTCTACGTCACGAGTTTCGAGGTAAATCCGGCTCCGACGGATCACCGGTGGCGTCGCGACGTCACAAGCTTCCGATAACAAAGAGTCAGAGGGAAGCATGCTTGGCGCGAATCGATCACATGAAGAGTGCAAGTCGGCAGATGATCGTCTCTCAGATTGCTGTCTTAGCGGATGCCCTACCCGGATAGTTTTTCAGAGCTCCTATGGTCAATCACGGGAGGCTCCCTGCTAGGAAAAACCCTCACTGAAGCCGTGAATCGGAGTCGTTGAACCAGACTTCGACCGCGCTCAAATCTGGACGACAATCGCGCGGTTTTATCCTTTCTTCTCTCAAGACTCTATTTAAAGATCCAGCCGCTCTAGATCGCTGATTTCTTCTGTGATTGACTCCATTCATGATGTGACGAGAGGGTAGCTGAGCCGCGCGAGCCGTGCGATAATGACGCAACGTCGTTTCATGCACCACAAAGTATATCATAGATGGAACTCACTCTCCATATATAGTACGAGCTAAGTAAGCGTGTGATCAGCTCACGAGAAGGAATTCTCTTCGTTCATTACCCCTGAGATATTCGTCGTATGCTGTGGTTTGCATGTCGTGAATACTTCCAGGCAATCGGCCCAAAGCAGCGCCGCGGAACGCGCGCACCTCGAGGGAATGCCCCTCGGAATTGACCTAGATCGTGTGATACGAAATTTACTGCTAGTCGTCAACGACTCATACTCGTATTGGACGGTCAGATTATCAGGGACGAGGGCTCGATATCGATGACGAATTCAAGAAGCCACAGAATCAAAAAATCTCTGCGCCGGTGATAATTGTAGGTTCTCATCTACTCTCGGAAAACTCTGGCGTAAGCTCATTTCCGACTGTTCTAGAATCCTCGAGTCTTCAGGAAGCCCAGGACATGCTGGCACAGGCATCTGTCGTTCCCCTAGCGGAGTGCTGTTGAGTCCAAATGGATTTGGAATGGCACGATGACACTTTTTTACGCAATACTTCGACGACAATAACACGGACTATCGGCACGCCCTGAATCATCATGGGGATCGCGAGCATTATCCGGAATTGAAAACAGATACCAGCTCTGGCTCGATCGAGTGGTTGTTGGGGATCGAAGTCAGTGCGGGTTTCCCAGAACTCCGGGAAAGGGTCCATCAACTCATTCGCTTGGTGGTGGACAGTCGGATACCGAACCCATAGCTCTCGAATACTCGAGACTTCCGGGAAATCATGTTCGCTGCATCAACTATGTCATCATTTTTTATCGGGATAAGGAGATTTGTCCGATAAGAGAGACGTTTTCGAATTAGTGCTCTTGAAGCTCGTGATCTGAATCTGGGCTCTTTCGATGAGGATAAATATTCCGATGCTGGTCTGTGATTCTTCCATGGTCATTGTCTCGATCTTCCATGAAATTCTACAGGTCTTCCGTCGAAGAAATCTGACTGAGAGCTCATCCGGATTTCCGATATCCAGATTGGGATCGAGAGGCTTGACAAAGCTCACGGATAAAAGCCAGACAGTAATTATTACGACCGGGGAAACCCGTGATCAGATAGAGTTCTTCAGTGGAAACACATGATTCTCACCCGATATTTCTCGTGAAAGCGTAGTTTTCCGTGTGATTCTCCCTTCGAGAAGATTCAAGAGGTTTCATCCACAGGCATCAATCACTTTTTGTGAACTCGAATTGATACAAAACAGAAAAAAAGAGCCGACTTCGGAAACCACAAGGGCGGCGAGTCCTTCTCCCGATGCTACCGAAGCGCGAGCTCACTTTGAATTGGATGAGGTGAATAAATCATGACAGAGCCGAAAAAAACATTTGCATAGGGACAGCATCTCACCAGCAGCCGCAGGCTCGGAACGGAAGCTAAGAATTCGGAGGTGACCTTCGAGCGGGAGATTGAGGCGCTCTGGCTCTATAAGAGCCTTGCGGTTCCCTGGAAATGTCAGAAAGGGATTCAATCCGAAGCGAGAAGAAGCCCCACAATGAAATCTCCGATTCTGCTCGCCGGACTCTTTTGCTTCGCTCTCGTCTGCTTCCTCGCGGTTCTGCCGAGTGCAACGGACGCTCAACTGATTACAGCTTATAACCCATACGCCTATGGCTACGGCTACCCGTACGCCTACGGATACGGCTACTACGGCCCATACGGCTATCCCTACACTGCTCCAGTCGTGGCGTATCCGTGGCTGAAGAAGAAGTAGACATTCGAACCGGATTCTCTTTTCTGCTCCCCTCTGAATAAAATCGAGGATCGTTCCGGGACTTTTCCCGAGCGAGTTTCCTTCAATTGTGTGTCTTCGATACGAAACGCTCCCGGTAGTAGGTAGGTTTCCACTAGCGTTCCGTCCTCGCTGCGTGCCCCAGCTTCTGACGTAGGGATGACCGATGCCGGGGCTGGCGCGTGAAAAAGTTGCGGTCCCGAACACGAGCCCCGCCGGCTCCGGGGAAGAGGGCGTAGCTACTGGGTATCCTCAACGAAAGCTGTTAACGTTCGAAGCAGATTCTGTTTCCTATACGAAGGCGAGCCCTTGCGAGCGATCTCTTAAGATCGAGGTCAGAATGTAGCTGCGCGAGTTTTCCGCCGCATCGGCAGACGAGGGAATAATCTACAATCGGACGAACGCTCCCTCAGATCGCGTCGATAGGCCCATCTACTTCCATTTTCCTCTCCTATTCGGCACTCTCGGGTGAGGAAAATACGAGCCCTTGTGGATTTACTCGTCTGATGCGGTGATCGCCCCGATTTCTGCAGCTTGCGGAGAAAAGACGCCACCCATCGATCCGCGACGATTCGCCATGCCCACGCCTGAGAGCTTCGTCTTCCACTGCATAATCCGGACAACGTACCAAAGGATGGACGAGCTGACATTGAGGGCTTCAGAATCTGCATCGAGCTCGACTCGGGGCTTCTGAGCGCATGCGAGTCGCTCGCGGTGGGTTGGTCGATGAAATGAATTCTCTCGCTGAATCTGCATTTTTCGCGCTTCGAAAACGCGCAAGCCAGATACAAAGTAGACGGACGCAGGTTATTCTGTAGATTCAGCTGGGAAATTAGGCCCGAAATCGGGTTGATGTATTCCTTCGGGAAGGAGAAAGACAGCTAGGAGGGCTCATTCAGGAGAGGACTTTTTATTCCCGGATAGAGATCTCAGGCCGTGTCTCTCCTCCAGGACACAATGGGACGAGCACAGGAATCACACGTATATTTACAGGTCTGCCGTATGCGAATGAACATGACACAGGACTCCGGAAGATCCACATGGAAGCAAGACGGAACACAACGGGGACAACGCTCCAATCCAACACAATGGACCCGAAGGGCACAAAATTACATACAGATATGAATATCACAAGGGCTGCTCGAGCTTACGAGCGGTCGTTACCATCCGTGGCCGTAGCCTCCGTAGGCAGCACCACTGAAATGATTATTTACCGTTCAGCACCAAGAAAAGCCTCCGCCACGAATCGGGTAAGCCATGTGAAAATCTGAGCGACTCGCGATACTCACTGTGGTTGCCATCCTCCGTGACCTCCGTACGCGTGACCGTAATTGTGTCCCCCGTGGTGGGAGGCGAAGAGAGCTCCGGCCCCGACTCCGAGGGCGGCTCCAGCGGCTCCTCCTGCCAGCACGGGGACTGCGAGCTTCTTGGCGAACTTCTTAGCGATGAGATGTTTGGCTTCCATCACCGAAGCACCAAGAACCATCATGACCACGAGTATAGCGAAAACTTTCATTTTTAAATTCGTTTGAGCTTCGAGGCGTTAGTCTTCGAAAGTGAATTGTGGAACCGAGATGTGCTCACACGAGGGCCCACAAGCTTTTAAATAGCGAACAACCTCTTTCGTGGGTGAGGCTATTCGACAGGTGGTCGGTCCGTCCGTCCATCGTCCGCCCGCCCGCTCGTCGGGTGGTCGGTCGGTCCGTCGGTCCGTCCGCTTCTTCGGTCGTGATAGGGATGCAAATCGAAAGAAAAGACAAAACAGAAGAGCGAGCGAGAGGGACTTGAAGCAAAAGGACGTTGTAGGGTCTGACTGGGCACCTGGCGTGGCTTAGTCAGCGGCGAGAGTCAGGACCTCGAGCAGGGGCTTTTCCTGGGACTGATGGCTTGAGGGAATTCCGCGAAGTCTTCGAAGGACCCGCTAGACCGTTGACCACCAGCTTTGCCGGTCAACCGCGGTCGCGATTCGCTACGGTAGTGGCGGGAGCGGCCGGTGCTGCGCAGAGAAAGTGGGCGATGACGTAACATTAAATAAATGTTTCAAATCTGTTCTTCAGCGTCATGGAGGGATAAAGCTGGGACAAGGACGTCGCGGTCGAACATCTGGCTCAGTCAGACAATTCTCGTTCTCTCATTAATTATGCGACAGAAAATCGAGCGTTCTCCGAAGTGGAACTGGGTCAGACGGACTGATAGCGCACCACGGATTGGGACGGATTTCTCTGACAAGATCGTTACGCAGAAACTAGTCATGATTCATCCGGTCATAGAATTTCGAGGGGTCTCATGCAGTGCGCTGATGGAGAGCTTAGGAAAATGCATTCGTGATGGGAAGAGCGTCTTTCTCGACAATAGCTGTATACGATGGGGATCCTTTGTGAGGAAAAAGAATCCTTGTGATCGATGAATACGTGATCCGAAGTCGAATGACCGGCCAACGGCTTCAACCGGTGAGATCCACGATGCTCGTTATCGATCGGAATGCAGGGACCAGATGAATTGATTAGGCGTGCTTAGGATCCCTCCCATATGTAGTTGCTTACGTCATGAGGGTGGCTCAATGGACTTGAATCATTTCTAAGGAACGCGACGTGATCTTGACCGATCCGCATCCGAGAGGGAGCTATGCGAATATCAGAAGTCGTATGTTCATCCGAGAATCCCATTCTCTTGGAAATTCACATCACATGAGTGGATCGAAAGTTTCAATATGGGGTTGGAATACAAGTCCTTTGTCCTGAGTAAGCAATAAGAGTCGAGATGGGAGGAATCCCATGGAACGGGCGTTTCGGCCTGATTCTACTTCGGGCCAGAGGTAAAGGGCTCGGGAGTCCACGAAACATTGGGCTAGGCTCCCGCAGACGGTACGAGAGGCTCTGGAGCGGATTCCATAGATTGCGACAGAAGTCCCAGATTCGACTTGCGGCTATCGGTTCCCTTCGTGATTGAGGAAGTTCGCGCATATCTGTCTGTAGTTGTGCGAAATCGGAACTCCGGCTCATACCGCGAGACGAGATCCAATCTCAGAACCCCACGTGTCAAACTCTCTACCTTCTTCGGGGCCTCCCTCCGGTGAAGGGATAATCCTCTCGGGACCTTCCGGGAATTTTCCGCTCCCATGCTGAGGTACGGGGCTGATGAAGACTTAGCATCATTTTAAAACCCTACTCAAATCAAGATCTTGAACGGAAAGGTCCTCGATCCTCTCGGGAATAATCCATGGGTTCCCGAACGATGAGCGTCGAATGCGGAAACTTGTTCGAGCAGAACCGTGCTTGAAACATTTTCCCCTTTGTCGCGGAAGCGTGGAATCACCTGTCATATCAATGAATGCTCCCCCCCATTACGGGATAATCGGAAGGGATTGAGCCTAATACGGTGTTCTAATGTGTCACGGAGTCAGAAAGAATCGGAATGAAGAGCGGGAGATTCGACGACAAGAGCGGGAGAATACACCGAACACGGAAATTTAGGGAAGTGTAGAGGGACTCTATTGGAAGTCCCGAGTGATGACGCTCGAAAATGCGAGAAACCTCTCGTAGAGAACCTCCGAGCGGGAAGATCTATATCGTATCGAGAGTCTTGGTGATTGAACGACAGTCTAGTCAGAGGAGATCTGTATGTACATATGCTTATCATCTAATTGATCAGGTCAGGGTTTGGTCCTCCCTAGTCGCGCGAGGGTGCATTTTCGCTCGTGCTCGGCATGCAATGCGCCGCTGACCTCCCTGCCACGAGAATTGTCCAACAACCGGGGTTCGCGACTCGAGCAACCGATCCCTGATACATAACGAGATTCGAGCTCTCCGAATGACTATCGAGCTCCAGCCGGTGAAACTTCACGGGAGAGAATTCTTGCACGAGAAAACCGTGCTTCTCATCATGCAACGCTCGATCATCGAGCTCCAGGGGAAGAAATCGAGCTCGAGGAAATTATGAACTCCGATGGAGAGATGAGTTGAGTCGCGTGAGCATGAACGGTTACTCCGGCTCTCGAAGGGGCGGAAAGAAGCGATGTATCCATCGTCTAATCCAATGGGTGATCCGTCTGAATCAAGGAGATGGGCCCTCCCACGCCCCTATCGGATGTTCCGTCCCCCTCCAATGGAGACCATCAGAGCAGACGCACGAATCTGTAAAACGCATTTATTCAAGGTACCATCGTGAATGTATCACAATCCTCTGGGGACGCACACCTCGGTCGGGATCCCGGACGACCGATTTTTTGTCCTCCCTCGCAGCCGTCGTTTCCTTTCACGCAGCTTCCAATAATATGTACAGAGCTAATCAAGTTTCTTTGTCGTCAACTCGGATTACCAACTGTCCCAACCTCTGAAATAGGAGTGTATCAAGGGTGAATTCCTAGCTCACTCAGATCACATCCATCGCAGAGTTCATCAAGGTTTTCCTTTGATTCCCTTGAGACTTGAGACTTTTGAGCCAACCATTTTTCATCTGAGCGGCAGAAACCAGAGACTCACCCCCATCCGTCGTGACCGAGATTGTGGACCTCTGTAATATGATAGACCTCTTTGTGGCCTCCGTGATGATTCTGGTGCTTGTGAAGTCCATGGATGAGTCCGGCTCCTACACCCGCGGCAGCTCCTGCGGCTCCTCCGGCTAAAACAGCTGGTGCGAGTTTCTTGACCGCTTTTTTGAGTAAGAAATGGTGTCCGGCTTCAGAGATAGCGAACAGCACTGTCAGCACGGCGAGAAAAGCGGAGAATCGCATCTTCTGAAGTCGAATTGAGTCCTCCGTGTACCGCGCCCTAAGTTTGCTGTTTGCTGTACGAGTGATATAGGGGAGCGAGCTAGTCTCGGTTATATAGGTTTACGTGGCGAGCCGCTCGACATCTTGACCCCCTCGCTGACTACGTTTACTTACCATTTGTGTCAAGTTATTCTGTGACCGCCTTCAAGGTCTCAAAAGCCCGCCGAATTTTAGCGTTTTTTCATTCGTTCAGAAACAAAAGATGCCTATCATTCGCTACAGTTGATGAACAGAATACATACAGCCGTCGCGAAAGGGCGATCTGACACTTTTTTTTCCACAACTATGAGCTCGAATTTCTCATTTTTCGCTTGAGCAACCCTGAGCCGGTCCGTCTGGCTTCCGAACGGTGTTCATAAAGTCACTTTGCGTATCTAACCCCTCATTGTATAACCCAGATCATTGAGCCGAACGAAGCTTTCTAACGTAATTGATGAACAAAAATTCTGTGGCCAGCAGCGGCGGCGAGCCAATGCAAACTTCAATCGGTTTCATAAGTTTTCCCCGGACCTTGTATCAGCGACGTTGTTAGCTGGTCATTGACCGACAGAATTCTAGAAGATTCGGACAGATCTGCATTGCTCTCGAACTTTCTCTTATTGACTCTGTGATGCAATGCATGTTTCATGGAATGTTTCGGAAGAACTCCGTCCTTGTGATACCACAACCTTTCTGAATTCTGCCACACAATAATACTTGAAAATTTTTGTATGTTCGCTACGATTCTCATTTCGTCAGACTCGCTATACTCGCTGTCCTCCCGACACGCCAAGAATGGAAAATATCTTTCGCAAGAGAAATGATAGAGTGTGTTCGAGACATCTCTGTTCGTACTGACGCCGATATATCGTACGTTTGTCTAAAACAATTTTTCTGAGTGTCGTTCGACATTGTGCCCTGGCCGTGCTATAAACATACGAGCTGTTGGCATTTCAGTGACAAGGATTAGACGAGCAACTCCACCCAGAGGTAGCTCCGCCGAGATAACGTAAACAACAAAACCACAAACCCTGGATTTGGGGCTCCACGATGCTTCACCGGGTATTGTCGCAAATCACAGAAAAGACATAATTTCGCTCGAGCTCGCTGAATAGTTCCGGGGGTCCCCCGTGCCTGGCTGTGACTTCAGGGGCGATCGAGAGACATGAGCCGGAATAAAGTTGTCGAAGCGAGGAACATCTCAGATTCGCGCGAGGAAGCCTCCGGAGAATTCTTCATTTGGAAACCGTCGATATTCCGGATTATTACCGCAGATAGCCGCTGGTAAATACGCCTCGGAGGTGTTCTTGCGAGTCGCTGTCAGCGATGAGTATCCTCAGCTCATCGGGCACAATCGTCAGCGAACATCCGATTCTGGACTAAGTATACCCCTAATTCTGAGACGAATCTGACGCTTGCTGAAGGAAAAAATTGGTCATTTACCATGGATTCCTTGTTCCTTGCAGTCTCTCACGGCTCGGTACCCAATGAAACCGTGACCGCGTCTCAGATAGAAGCTCGTTGCGGATCCGATCCGGCAGTCTATGTACATCTACGGATCCAGAGACTACTTCGCTCGAAGACGGTGACTTGAATACCGATGAAGTCGTGAGGATTTCCGAGAAATGTTTTCCCCAGACCGATGACTTTGCGTCATCAGAGCGTCGCTCCGGTGTGAAGCTGACCCGCGATATCAAACGCCTGGGTGATGATAAATTCCAGCTCGATTCATGTTGTACGAGGACGTCGGTTTTCAGAATCGCTAGTGTCGTGGGCGGCACCGGCGACGCTCGGATCTCGCTCACGTTCGAGTCTCGGAGGTCGACGC